TGTTTCTGACAATATGTTTCTGCTTCTTAGTACTTAACTTTGTGCATGCATCTTTTCGTTTGGTTTCGTTTATTTTGTCTTACGGCATATCAACAGCACGATAGGTTATTTAATGCAGACAAGCTTTTTAGGATAGGTTCGTATGAATAGAATATGTATCCTTTGTAAGAAATCAGTTTGTAAATTAGGTTTCATTGATTATTTTTGTAAAGAGGTTTTTTTGACGAGTCACATGTATTACTGGTAATATTTTTTTTCTTCAAAAATGTATTGCTGGTATTTTTACTATAAAAATCTATTTTTATATTTTCATAGTTTTTTGACCCCAGTTTAGGAAGTCCAATATTTTCCCATATCTAGGACCCAAACAGGTGATACCACCACAGGTTAGGGTGGACCAGGGAACAGCAATTAATAGGTGGTTCCAGGCTCCCGAAAAACTCCTGATCAAATGCCTTGTTGCCGGATGTAGTTTATCATCATACACAGGACGTATGCATCTTTTATTATTATAACACGTCGTCTTAAATATGTTTGGAAGATTTTCACATGCAAGCCTTTAAATATATTTATATATTTATTATATTAATTCCTGGTAATTCGGAACTGAGTTTTTCTTGAAAACAATTAAAAAAAAACGAACTTTAGTTTATATAAAGTGGAATCTTTTTACGACTTCATAAATTGGGACCCCACATATAATGGAAAGATGTGACATTTTATCACGATCTCAATTTACCTAAATAAATGAGAGCTTTTGTGGTCAAGGGGCAACAAAGTCGGATATTGTTAATTTCCGTCTCTGGGTTCAGAAATGCAAATGGAAAGAGGTTGGATTGACATAGCAGAAGTAACGAAAGAAGTGGAAAAGTCAGTTTTTACGGCAGGAGGAAATTAGTAATGAGTACAAATATGTTTCTGGGAGAGAGAGCTCATTATCTGGCGGGTTCAACAGTCTGAATAAATCCAATTCCTTTGGCCATAATGACTTGTGACTTCGGGATAGTACAACCATCGATGACTCCTAAATAGATAAATATCACTAAAAAAAATGCTTGGGTCAACCCCTGGCTTTCAGGCACTTTTCAAAGTCATACTTGCCTATTCTACAGTATCGAATTCAGAACCGGCCTTCTCTTAGACTGGCTGACACACGCCTCAGACCGATAGCATCAACAATTCACCTTCTCGACAAATCGACTATGGTGAGATTCGAACACAGGTTTCATCGTCGCAAAGCGAATGTTCTAATCAGTTAGTTGCACTACAAGAAAAAAATAAATGTCATAAAAGTGTTCTTTCATGTTCTTTGGTTGGATTTCGTTTGGTGACATATCAATATCTCTCCGAGTTATTTAATGCGTAAATCTTAATATTTTGAACATAATTTTATGGCTTCAACTAAATATATTTTGAATGTAATTGTTTGCTTTATACTACAGATAAAATATATTGTTTATTTTGCTATAAAATGTACTGTTTATTTTGCTATAAAATGTGTTGTTTATTTTGCTATAAAAAGTATTGTTTATTTTGCTATAAAATGTGTTGTTTATTTTGCTATAAAATGTATTGTTTATTTTTCTATAAAATGTGTTGTTTGTTTTGCTATAAAATGTATTGTTTATTTTGCTATAAAATGTATTGTTTATTTTGCTATAAAATGTGTTCTTTATTTTGCTATAAAATGTATTGTTTATTTTGCTATAAAATGTATTATTTTGCTATAAAATGTATTGTTTATTTTGCTATAAAATGTATTGTTTATTTTGCTATAAAATGTATTGTTTATTTTGCTATAAAATGTATTGTTTATTTTGCTATAAAATGTGTTGTTGGTAATTCTACTATAATATGCATTGTTGGTAGTCTTTATATAAAATGTATTGTTGGTATTTTTACTATAAAATGTATTTTTATACATTCATAGTGTTTTGTTTTGCTTAGACCCTAATAGGTGATACCACATCTGGTCAATTTGGACCTGGGAACAACGACAATTAAGAAATGGTTCCAACGCTCCTTAAAACCTCTAATCTCCCGATCAGAGGACTTGCTGCCGGATGTAGTTTATCGTAATACCCAGGACTAGATAGATAGATACAGAAGGGATTGATATATATATATATATATATATATATATATATATATATATATAATATATAATCATATATCATAATCAAAAAAGTAGATTAGTAAAGTTAATGATATAAAATGGCGAAATCACTTCGCTAACAAAACTTTATATCATTAACTTTCGTAATCTACTTTTTGGATGAATGATTCATTGTAATATAAATTGAACTGCACCACAATTTGATTTAATAGAACTGATCCAACGTGCAAATTTTCGGGATAACAACTGAGACTTACTCTATTTATTGAACAATTTAGTTCATGCCACGTTGAATGAAAAACTCCTACAACAAAAAATTCTCAAATTTCCATATTAGTAAAAAAACGCACTCTCTTAAATTTTCAAAAAATCAACCTTAGCGTTGCGACTGCACGTTTCAAAAGTTTGTATCCGTTAACAATAACACATTTAAAAAAAAAAAAAAACATATTTCGATTCGCATTTAATTTTTTGTCTTGGATACTACCTGGATATTAATAAAAACAAAATAATTTCCATGCGTGAGGATGACTGAATGTAAAGTTGAAAGTACTTGCATATTAAAAAAAAGACCTTATACATCTCATAATTATTAAAAACAAGGATCATAGCATTCATCTATTGATTTATAGGTTAGCGAAGGGATTTCGCCATTCCATATCATTAACATTACTAATCTACTTTTTGTATGAATGATTCATTGTAATATAAAATGAATTGCACCACTATTTGATATATATATATATATATATATATATATATATATATATATATATATATATATATATATATATATATTCATAAAATTTGATAGACGCAGATATGAACAGATTTGATTACTGAGAAAATGATGAGCATCGATAGAGAGACAGATTAGACCCGTGATTCACAAACATTTTGAAGTCGGAGGGCACTTTAAATCCTACCAGTAATTGTAGTCGCTCTATATGCAAATTATGTTATAATGATGTCAAATATTGTAGAAAAGAAATAATGTAATAAAAATATAAAATAAAGCATACCTTAAGTTTATTCATTCAGTGTTTAAGAGAAACATAAGCCGGATAAGTCTTAGCGACTTCTTCAATGTTTGGGCGTATATTTGATAGGCAAGCTTTCATTTCCTCCTCAATACATTGAAGAGTTCCTCTCTTTTTGCACATAATTGTGGCGAGAGCAGAAAAGCCTAATTCACATAAATATGAACGAAATGGCACCGAAATATAATAAAGTAAGCATATTTATTTCTTATATCTGGACACATATCTCTCTGGAATGACAGGGCGCATCTAGACATATTCCAGGGCGCACCGGTACGCCCAGGCGCAACAGTACGCCCAGGCGCACCAGTACGCCCAGGTGCACCAGTACGCCCAGGCGCACAATTTGAGAACCACTGGATTATACGAATAAAGAATTATGGCAGACATAGACACATTCATCTAGTTTCCAACTGCGGGAGTTTTCAAAATTCCTCTTTGTCATACCAGCTGGCACACTGAATAACACGATTACGTCGGTCCGTGAATGTCTGCGGATGTGGCAGATAATTTTCCACTTGAGCGAACGGAGGGAATCGGCTATCGCATTGGCAGCTGCGATGGCAATAAAAAAAAAGAAGCAAAATAAAATAAAAACAAAACATGAAGACATCACGAGAAACCCGACAACAACGACGAATTCCGACACAAGCTAAAGACAATCAGGTTACATCACCGGCCTTTCGTTCAGTGTCAAGAGAAAGAAAGCACAGCCATTTTTTCTCTCGTTTTTCCTGTGCATTTCGAGGTGGAATAAAAGACAAAACAAAAGATCCGATTCGATCCGATCGCTTGGACGGGATAATCGATCCAGAAAATGTCGGGTCGCAATTTCCCAACACGAATTCTGGTAAATCCTCGAACATACGACTTTGAAGAAAATATAAAATTGTTTACAAACTAGCAAAGTCATTTTGAGCACAATTTATACCAGCAATCCGCCATGTCATGACATTTATTTTTATTTATTTTCGGCTCACAAAACAACTGAAACTTTTGAAAATTATCTCGACTCTGACCGAATATTATAGCATTGATAGCTAATGTTGCATTTATAGTGCATATGTTTTGATGACTATGGTTTTTATTTGGTGAAATTTTGCTTGTTCGAATCAATCATTTGTTTCTTCAGATTAAGACCAGATTTTTCTCCGTATAACCGAAGAATGTATTAAGAAACAGGAAACGTTTAATATATAATACCAATACTCTTATATGACAGTGAACGCTGGGTTATTTCCGCACAGCTGAGGAGGAAATATGGCGCGATAGGGCTGTGGTCTGGCAAAAAGATGCAGAGAACAATATGGACTCGGCATATTAACAAGGAAGAAAATTTAAAGAACATGTGAACAACCAGAACACTTGTACTTCGAACTAGAAAGCGGAACTGTTGGAATTTCCGGGATACATAATGAGGAAGGATGACTTGGAGAATTTGACACACAAAAGATATATTTAAATTTAGAGAGGAAAATTGAAACCGATCATAGAAGCTTTTGTAAATCAATAGAAAAACAGGGATTGGGAGGGGTAATAATGGGACAAATATTGTTTAATTTTATAAAAGTTATGAATATGTAAAGACCCACATCCTGAAGAGCCATGACACATAGAAGATATGATTATATATATATATATATATATATATATATATATATATATGAGGAAATATAGTTTTAAGGTGTGCTATATTTATGGGATAAAGTGCTCAATATCAGAGATAGATCGTATGTAAATATAAATATAAAAGTGAACGTTGAAATCAACACTCAGAGGCGACAGGCTGTTCAAGCTGGACGCAATCGTCGGCGGCCTGACGATTGCGTACAGCATGAAACAGCATGTCGTCTCTGAGTGATGACTTCAATGTTCATTTTTGTATATCTATCTATCTATCTATCTATCTATCTATCTATCTATCTTTTCACCCCAAGCAAGGCTGGAGTGCCACTAGCACACCAGGAGAATACAGAGAGTGGGAGCAAGTGTAAAGAGGCGTGATAGAGGAAAGAGTGAAGAGAAGGACGGGGAACTGACCAAGGCATCTGAAGATGTCGAATTGACATTGCATTTGAATAGCTGGAAATTATAGCTATCAGGGAAGCAAGTAAGAGGAAGGGAGTTCCGCAGGCGGGAAGTGCGAGACATGAAGCTATTGGAGTAGAAGAGACGGTTACAGTTAACCGTTTCAACAGTGAAAGGGTGGGACTGAGATGCCGACCTAGTAGCACGTTTAAATTCACGCAGTTTGGGAACCAGTGAAAGTAGATCCTCGGAGCAGATACCGTGAAAGTACTTGTAGGAAAGGACAGAGGGATTCGACGGGATCAGAGCCAACCACATTGCATATTCGTTTCTGGATTTGTTTTTAGACACTTAACATAGTATGTTCCTCACCGGGTGGCCCAAAGTTTCAGCCCGTTGTCCCCTCTAATTCACTATAACAATTTTGACTGCATTATTTAAGAAATTTTCCATTTGCTTTGTAATTTTCTTGTTTATATTGAACTAGTATGGAACCCATCAAAAGTAGACGGTGTTGATTACGTCATCGTCATTAAATAAGATTTTCATTATCATTGGTAGGGTCACTGCGCATTTGAGCATGAGACATATCTAGGTTGAAAGCCGGACAGATATTCATTCATGCGTGGCGTGTCTTCGGCAAGTAAACCTGTCGGAGCACACCCTATTTATGTGAAGCCACCGTCGATGTCCTCCAACTTTAACGACCACCGGAGGCGTAGCCGTCGATTCCATTGGGATAAAACTCCGCTCTGACCGTTGACTTCAGTCTAAGAAGTCCTCCGCTCAGCGATGTCATGTCATCACCGTAATGTGTGCAAACACACACACATACATTGTACTTTTCATATAATATAATATCACACACACACACACACACACACACACACACACACACACACATATATATATATATATATATATATATATATATATATACAGGCAGCATATCTTCATTCATACATGTTTCACTGAATAATATAGATATCTCGTGTCTATTTATTTTTATACTGGCCCCTTTCAGTTGTCTAATCAGTTTCTGCCAATCTCCTTATACTGAAACGCTTTTTTTTGTCAAAGATTCTGTTACTTCAACAGTTAAATTCTAAAATAATTCTAACAGAGCGCGTCTTTTTAAAAATCACCATGCAGATTTTCTCGCGGTTAGAATGAGTTTGCCTGTAGATGATCTTAGAAAAGATCGAAAGTACTTGGGTTAAAGAAAAAAAATGAGCTGCCTCCCTTGCTGAATTTCATCGTAACATCAAGAAACTGATTAGACAAGGGGAAAGGATCGGTATAAAATTAAGTAGACACAATATGTATTTATTATTCAATGAAACACACACGCACATACACACACATACACGCGTGTGCGTATATATATATATATATATATATATATATATATATAAATAAAGAGAGAGAGAGAGAGAGAGAGAGAGAGAGAGAGAGAATAGAGACTCTATCCTTTTCAAATGCCTGACGATTGTGTGACCACCGACTGTGGGGGCACAGGAAACTTGATAGTCTCAGGAAAACAGCGAAACTTAAATATCACTTGATTATATATTGTAATATATATATATATATATATATATATATATATATATATATATATATATATATATATCTGAAGTCTTGTTAGTTATTTATTTATGGAACTAACAAGACTTCAATATATATATATATATATATATATATATATATATATATATATATATATATATATATATATATATCTGAAGTCTTGTTAGTTACTTCATGGGGTTTGCTTAACCAATGAAAAACAGGCAACACAAAAATAAAAAAAACAGACTTTTCTTTTCTTCTCATTATTTCATTTATTAATGAAACTTTAATAAAACGAAGCATTAAATTTATTAATCCTATTTTTATTTATCTCATATATATATATATATATATATGTGTGTGTGTGTGTGTGTGTGTGTGTCTGTGTGTGTGTATCTGTGTGTGTGTATCTGTATGTGTGTGTGTGTATATATATATATATATATATATATATATATTGTCATCCCCAGACAGACTGTTACGCTGTATCACAGCTCTTCAGTGTGTTGCTACACCGTAGAATCGAAAATTACGTCATATGGGGGGGTATGGATATATTTCAACCAACGTGAATTACGTCGGTCTTATTCAACACCGGTGTATGGCGGAGTTTGAATAAGACTTCGCGTTGATTGAAATATAACTATCCCCCCCCACATAACGTAATTTTTGGGTTTTGTTGTGTAATTTATATGCTCAGTTATATTGAATAGATTGAGCTCCTTTTGTGGACCAGTTTTAATATTAGATATTACAAGGAACCACCTGGATTATATACTAACGGATTTATCACCGGTAGTACATATATATATATATATATATATATATATATATATATATATATATATATATATATATATATATACATAATTATTACAAAAACTAATGCAAGGTTAATGATTTAAATGGCAGATAGACATCCATCATTTTTTATTTTAAACAATTCAAATAGTACACAAAACCTCCATTCCGTTATGAAATGAATTGATCCTTGTTTAAGATAAAAAACAAGAATTACATCTATTTTTATACAAGAAGATTTCGTCTGTTCCTACAGACGAAAGCTTGGTATAAAATAACAACTTGTTCTTGTTTTTCTCTTAGT